ACCCTCTGCCCCTCCCCACACTTGCCCACATGCTCTCTCCCTCTCCCTCTCCCTCAAAATAAATAAATAAATAAATAAAAATGAATTTTAAGTGTTTGAGGAGGGTAGGGCGCCTGGGTGGCTCAGTCAGTTAAGCCTCTGCCTTCAGCTCAGGTCATGATACCAGCGTCGGGGGATCGAGTCCCGCATCAGGCTCTCTGCTCAGTGGGGAGTCTGCTTCTCCCTCTGCCTCTGCCCCTCCCCATGCTTGTGCTCTCTCTCTCTCTCAAATAAATACATAAAATCTTTAAAAAAAAGTAAGTGTTTGAGGAGGATGATGGTAACTTATGTCGTGCTTAATTTCACAAAGGGTTTTTCTTTATGGATCTCATCTTAAGATTCTCAGCTTTGTAGATGAAGACAAGAAGCCTTAGAAAAGTGAAGTGATTTGTCATCCTCTGGGGTAGAGGCAAGATTCACATCTAGATCTTTTAACTTTGAAATTGAGTGCTCTTTCTTTAAACAACAGGGCTTCCAAAGGTTATATTTCTTTTATCAGTTGCTAGAAGGCCAGAAGTCTGAAATCCAGCAGGGTCTCATACTTCCTCTGGGGGCTCTAAGGGTAAACCATTCCATGCCTCTTCTAGCTTCTGGTGTGGTGGCTGCCATATTCCTTGGCATTCCCTGGCTTGTGGCCACTTTACTCTGATCTCTGCCTGTCTTCACAGTGCTTCTGCTTCTGGGTGTATCTTCTCTTCTCTGTGTCCACTTCAGTAAGAACAAAGCTCTTCCCCTTCCACGATGGAAGTGGTCCCAATGTAATCAACCTGCATCCGGGGGGTTAGCTGATCACCCCGGGAATGGCGCCATATTAGGGACTCAGTTTTGGTTTCTGTCAGGTGCCCACTGGTGGCTGTAGCCAGGCTGGCCTTGGTGAGAGGAAATCCATGTTGCTGAGTCCGTGTATAACCTCCCTCCTTGCCACCATGACCACTTTTTCCCTGAACCCATTGGTCAATGACAGGAGTGGCTACAGGGGAAGGAGGCTGATCAGTAGTCACAGACTAGGTCATTCTACCGCTTGATTCTTAAAATCATTCTCTGCTCAAGTCCCCTTTTAGGGAGCATTTGCGGGGGATACAAATACCTTCATGGTTTTTCATGTCTAACTTTAGAAGAAGCTCTATCACTTGCTCTCATGCAGCTCCTCCAGCCCTTATCATTGCCTGAGATGTCCCACAATTAAATTTATATACAATGTTCAGCATTACCTCTTTTTAAAGATTTTATTTATTTATTTGACAGAGAGAGACACAGTGAGAGAGGGAACACAGCAAGAGACAGAGTGGGAGAGGGAGAAGCAGGCTTCCCGCTGAGCAGGGAGCCCGATACGGGGCTCCATCCCAGGACCCTGGGATCATGACCTGAGCCGAAGGCAGATGCTCAATGATTGAGCCACCCAGGCGCCCCTCACATTAACCTTCTTAAACAGAATATATATTACCTTTTCAAACAAGAAATAACTGAAATTTAGTTAAGATAAAAAGTTGGTCTATAATCTCAACTACTTGATAAATAAATTGTATATATATATTTCTGTATTTTTTCCAAGTCCTAGCCCCAAAGTGAATATAACTTTACATTGTGTGTGTGTGTGTGTGTGTGTGTGTGTGTGTGTGTGTGTTTAAGTAGGCTCCAGTGGAGCCTAACATGGAGCTTGAACTCACAACCTTGAGATCAAGAGCTGAACTGAAATCAAGAGTCAGCTGCTTAACCGACTGAGCCACCTAGGCGCCCACACCTTCCCCCTTTAACGGTTGTTTCTTTACAAGCAATTCTTAAAAATGGGAGAGACAGAAAAATATGAACAAAGGTTACAAATATTTTTTAGATTCATGAACCTACAGACTTACTCCTTGAGGGCAGTGACTAAACCATATTTATTGCTGTATCTGTAGGGTCTTCGACATTGCCTGTTTCATGGTAATTCTCAATAAGATGAGTTGAGTGACTAAATAAATTTTAACAAGAGCTTGTGGAACATGACTTATTATGGCTCTGGATAACAATATGAGTATAATTATTGTCCAGTGTCTTTCCCATCTTGACAAATGACACCATCATCCCTTAAGTTATTAAAGGTAGAAATCTGGGAGTAGATTCTTTTCCTCACTGCCCTTGTATTAGTTGTTCATTGCTGTGCAAGAAATTATGACAAAACTTATGTCCTAACATGGCAACGAATATTTATTTTACTCACAGGAGATAGTTTGTTCTGACTTGGGGACTCTCAGGAAGTCACAGTCACATGTTGGTGGGGGCTTTGTCATATGAACGTTTGGTGCAACTGGAGGATCCATTGCAACATGGCCCACTCACATAGCTGGCAAGTTGCTGCTGGCTGTTGGTAGGAGACCTCAGTTCCTCTCCCTTTGGGTGCCTACGCAGGGCTCCTTGCGTGGCTTCATGACAGAGTGGCTGGTCTCCCTCAGAGTCAACAATCCAAGACAGCAAAGTAGAAGCTACAGTGTCATTTATGGCCTCACCTTAGAAGTCATGCACTCTCAGTTCTACAGTGTTCTACTAATCACCAGTTCTGCCTTATTCACTGTGGGACTTAGTCAGAGGGGACTGCACGAAGGCACAAATACCAGAAGGCAAGGATCATTGGGGACCATCTTGAAGGCTTGCTACCAGAGTTCCTCTCTTTTATATTTCATTCTAACTATGTGTTCTTTTCATTCTCCTTCCAAAAAAGAGTCTCAAATAGAATCCCTTCTCTTCGTTTCTTCTGCCTCTAGCCTAGTCCAAGACACTGTCCACACTCGGCTCCACTGTAATATTCTTCCATCTGATCTTCCTCTTTTGGCTCTTGTCACTCTAATGCATTTCTCACATAGCAGCTATTCATTCATTTTTTTTGGTGAATTCATTCAACATATTTATTGTGATCTTACTACAGACTAGATTTGTTCTAGGTTCTCAAAATATAACAATGGATAAAACAAAGCCCTTAGAGCTTCTGTATAGCTGGGAAAGAAGTAAACGAATAATATGGAAAATATTAGGTGGCAATATGTGTAATACAGAAGATTAAAACAGGGTAAAGGAAAGAGAGGAAAATAGAAAAATTAGGGATGTGTGGGTGCTATGTTATATTGGTCAGCCAATGGTGCTATCTCTGAGTAGTTGACATTGGGACAGAAACCCAAAGGATAGGAGAAGGAGGCATATGAATATCTGGGTAAGAGTGTCCAAAGCAGAGGAAAGAGTAAATGCCAAGGCCCTGATCATGCTTGATGTGTTTGAGGAACGGTAAACCTCCCAATGTGGCTGGAGCAGAAGAGAGAGGGAAGTAGAGGATGTCAGGTAATGGGGGTTAGGTCATGCAGGGCCTTAAAGAATATGATGATGACTTTGGCTTTACTTTGGGTTTGTCATTGACATATTTTGCTGACATGATATGACTTGCTTTCTGAAAAGATCATTTGGACTACTCATTTCTGTGATCTTTTAAAATGTAAATATCACATCACTTCCACTGCTTAAGGCTCTTCCATGAATTCCCATTGCACTTAGGATAAAAATCCAAGCTCCCGTAGCTATTATTTTATTATCATGTTTATTTTTATTATTAAAATTGACACCCCATTATTCTCTTTCACAGAACCCTGCCGATTTCCTTCCCGATACATATCAAACTAGTAAATATTATTATTAGGCTTATTTGTTTATAAATTGTCTCCTCCATTTGAAAATATGTACTCTGGGGATGTTGTGGGTCTTTCCATATACTAAATCATCCCAGGACTGTTTTGTTCTTGGAGCCCTTGTGTTTGCTCTTTGTACATTTTTTCCTGTATTTTCCTCATTTTCATATTTGGTCAGTGACCTACTTCTAGCAATGCTGTAGTTGGTGCCAGAGCAATTTTGGTGTTGAGCTGGATGCTAGAGCTTACCTTGGCTTGTGGGCTACAGCAGTACTTCTCACATTTTAATGGACAAATGAAGTAGCTGGAAGTGGGGAGGGGATCTTGTTAAGGTACTTACTGATTCTTCCTCAGTGGGTCTTGAGTGGACCTTGAGGTTCTGCATTTCTACCAAGCTCATAGGTGATGGCCGTGCTGCTGATTCTTAACAAGGGGATTTGATCACCAAGCTTGGCTGAACGTGGAAATCACCTGTAGAGCTTTAAAGAATATGAAGCCTTGATTCTACCCCCAGATATTCCAATATAATTAGTCTGAGATGCAGTCTGAGTATTGGTAATTTTAAGGCTTCATTCGGATTCTGAATTGTCATAACATTTGAGAACCACTGGATTGGATGACATTGGTCTCTATCTTAAGACAAAGCATACTGAGTAATACTCTGCAGGGCTATGTGGCTTTCGTTTTTAAAGTCAATTTTGTAGCTCTAGGAAGACTCTGACCACACCCGTGGATGATCTCCAGATCTCTGCCTAGCATGACTGGGGAGTTTTTTCTGGTGTCTCCAGCACATGTTGTCAGTGGCAGAAATAAGTCTTGCCTTTGTAAGAGTGGTCGTTCCGAGGGCAGTTAAATACACCCGCTGTATGACGAGGCTATAGTAAGCCAGGTCCCTCCTGTATGAGCTTGTCCTGAGGAAGAGAGAGGAAGGGGGTGAAGCAGAGAAGCACTCCATTTCTTTTTTCTTCTAATTTCTAGCATGTTCATGTGTAGAGTTTCTAAGCCAGTAACAAACTAAGAACGTCTTGTGTAGTTCAAGCTAACCTTTTGGTCATCAAAAGCGGATGTTTCAAACTACTAAATATCAATGAGGCAGATCCAGTTTGCAGCCTGATAATTGACTGCTAGATGTGGGTGCCTCAAAGGTGTTGGAAAGACAATGCCAGAGCTCTCCTTCACCCCTTAACCTGAAGCCCACTCAATTCCTTTTGTCAAGTGATTTACTGTGTGTTAACAGAGCCTGGGGCACTTCCCATTGAAATGTCTCTGATCCCATGTAACTGGATTGATTTTTTCCTTTGGCTGATCTAGATTGGACGACTGATTATTGGACAGAATGGCATCTTGTCGACACCTGCTGTTTCCTGCATCATCAGGAAGATCAAGGCAGCTGGTGGAATCATCCTAACAGCCAGCCATTGCCCTGGAGGACCAGGGGGAGAGTTTGGAGTGAAGTTCAATGTTGCCAATGGAGGTATGTGGCTTAGGATATGCCTTAATCATCCTGATTTCTGTCCTCTTATGTTGTTGTAGTTTTATTTGTTAAAAAAGATTTATTTATTTCAGAGAGAGGGAGAGCATGTGTGAGAGCAGGGGCGGGGTGCAGAGGGAGGAGAGGGAGAGAGAGAATCTCAAGCAGACTCACACTGAGCATGGAGCCTGATGTGGCCCTCGATCTCACAACCCGAGATCAAGACCTGAGCCAAAACCAAGAGTCAGATGCTTAACTGACTGTGCCATCCCATGTGCCCCAGCCATCGTAGTCTTACAATGACCCTCTGATGGTAGACAAGCAAGGTGGAGGGGAAATGGCTCAGAAAGTTCCAGTGAGGGGCTGTATTAGGTTTCTCCAGAGGCACAGAAGAGTAGGCTATATAGAGATTTATTATAAGGAATTGGCTGGGTTCTGGTTCAAGATGGTGACGTAGGAATATCCAGAACTCACCTCCTCTCATGGACACACTGAATCTACAGATATATAGACCAGTTTCCTCTGAAAAAACCCTAAAAACTAGCAGAGCAGCCCCTTTACACGGGGCAAATGAGAAGGAAACTATGTTAAAGTGGGTAGGAGAGGCTGGGACACAACCTCACCATAAACCTCACTGCTGGCGAAATATTCCACCACCTGGAAAGAATGCAAAATGCTGAGCCTCTCTCCGAGGAAAGAGGCGTTTTCACTCTACATTGGGTACTCCAGCTTTTAAGACTGACACCTGAGGAGGGGGGCGGAGCAAGATGGCGGAGGAGTAGGAGACCTGGATTTCGTCTGGTCTCAGGAATTCAGCTGAATAGGGATCAAACCATTCTGAAC